ATTTTTGTTAATGAGAGACTTTACTGTACTCCAGCTAAATGGCACAAACATGTATCAAGCAATAATTAGAATAATGATACAAGATTTGCTTTAATTTTTCTGTAAATGTCACTTCCCATTATTGCTTATAATTCATTATTGATGGAGTGAAAAGAACAAATAAGAATTAACCATCACCAGACCTATTATATGAAATTTGATGGGCCTTTCAGGCATTTTCTCAATAGAATGAGAAATACAATCAGATCAGATTTTCATGCAGCTATTTCCGTTCTCCTGATGTAAACAACCTCATCATGTATCTTGGTTTTCAGAAGCAACAGCAGCTCTGTGCCGCTTAAAAGATGTAGCATGCTGCATGGTTAAATGAAGACATGCAACTTGTAGGGAAAGGTTTAGTGCACTTGGATACTTGGTTAGGTCAGAAGTAAATATTTTGATAGTGAAACGACTCAAATGAAATCGTCTGTGTGGCTTCAATATTAAATGAGTTCCAGGAAACATCCGGATGCACGATTAGATTGAAAGACACTTAACTGCAGGCTCTGAGACATGAAAGGCTTGCATCTTCCATGATGATAACAGCACATGTAAGCAACAAATCCAATGGGAATCCGAGCCAGTACTGACCCTTCCAGAATAAGCAAAGCCATTCATCTCTAAATCAATGTCTAAGGCAGAGCATGCAAAATTGTGAAAACCTTCGTAATATACAGAATATGTGAGGCTATGACTGCAGCTGCCTCCATAGCATATTGTTGCACTGCAGGATTTAATACATTTATTTCCACTACATTGAGCGCTGAAGAATAGGGTCCAAGTAATGCAAATATGAATTCTATATCATCTAACCTCAGGTAAGCATCTTGTTTGCATGTGGCAAATTTGGCTGAAAAATGTTCAGTCTAAAGAACATTTCAAGCCTTTTTGATTGGTTTGTTATCAATATCATTTTAGTCAAGACAGTCACTTTGGCTAAGCCGCTGACTGATCTGTGTGTACTCTCCACCCCTGCTATTTTCTGATAAGACGAAAGAGAGATTAGTCTCCCAGATAAAGTACGTTTTTTATGTCTAAAACCACTGCAAGCAAACTTGGCGGAAGGACTTTTCAGAGAGTATGAAGGGAATTTGCATGGTTTACGACTGAGGTGCATATTCTTGATTTTAGTTGGAGGACATGGCTACACCCACACAAACTAAACATTTGTCTGTTAGCTCTGGGGACGCAATGACATTCAGCTGCTGTGATGATTTAATTAATTACTGAAGAGGTGGCCAGTCGACAGAAGACCAATAGTAATAAAAAGTTAGTATGATTCTCAAAGACAAAAAGCAGGATGAAGGTTAAGCGGGAATGCCAGCATTTCAAGATATACTTGAGTAAGTAAAAGTTGTGTGAATTATTTCTGGTAGTAAAAACTGCATCACATGCATAGCTCAAAATATGTAACCGGACTCTCAATAACTGTATATCCACCCCAGCAAATAGGAAAGCTAGGGTTAGGGTTAGGTTTAGTGCAGAAAGTGCAAAAGTGTAAAGTGCAAAATATGTTTGGATTTTTTTTCTTCAGATTCATAGCATTTAAATTCTTAATTTGCCAGTTTTGTCATTTTCTCCTGGACCTACAGCTGAGTTAATTTTTATGAAGAAAATATCCTATATACTCACAACATTGAAAAGAAAATATATACCGGTAATTGTTTTGTTTATTGTTCACAGAAGATCTCTGTAAAATACTTTTTTTGTTACTTGATAACTTTTAGAAAACATTTCAAATATGAATTTTAAATAGTTTCTCTCAGAACCTCTAATTGCTATTCAGTGAACTGCAATGAATGTATTTTTCCCTTTAATAATTGTTAAAGGTGTAAGCAAGAGCCATACATAATCTTAAATGGCAAACTTTTTTTAAGGATGTTTTAGTCTATTGCTACTGTTTTCCTAAGTGTCGTGTTCAACAACGTGAGTTTATGAGGGAGGGAATAGCTGCTGTAATAGTGAGTTCCTCCAGGATAGTTTAGCTGAGACTTCGTATCAACAGTTTAATTAGTATTGTGTTGTGGAGGAACAAGATTTTTCCTATTTCTTGTCAACAGGCCCCTCCAGGCTACCAATTAATAAAACACACCTCAAAGATTAGGTTCTTGCCACTCTAGCGCAACGAAATTCAGATCCAAGTGGAGATTAAAGACAAGTCAGTATATGGAATGCTGGATTGACCACATACTGGTAAGTGACACTAAAGTGGTATTCAGGCAATCTTGTCACAGACAATATACTACATCAGTTCATGTAAATTGAGCATGTGTAGTCGAAGGACAAACAGCAGCTTGGGTCTATAAAAGAATCACATACATACAACTTGTGAGATTCATCCAGTGCTTTGTAGTGATGCCTTTCTGACAACAATACGCAACACAATAGGGACTTTGAGCATTAGACGTTGTCATTTCACCATCACTCAAGTGAACACTTGGTCATTTATGTGAGTCAAACTCAAATAAAAAAGTCCCCTCACAAATCCACATTTTTCAACAGCAAATCTTGATTACTTGAACATAGTTACAGACATGTTACAACATCCAAGGTGGGAGGAACTGACACCTTGTTTCCATGCCAACAGCCCTTTCCAACATATGGCCACGGCTTTCTGGCACAGAAACCCATTTGAATTCATATTCTAAATCAGCTGTCGAACTACTGAAAATAATCAGGCAAGATAATGATCACTCATGTCAAACTGGGAAAAAATTCCCCAAAAATGATTTTAAAAAAAATAGGCCAAACAAAAAACTTCGTTAAGGTGACAAAACGTGATAGAAATAGTGAATGAATGTCCAGGTGGAAACAGCAGCCCGTGAAATATGTGTCACAGTAGCCAAAGATCCACATACTCTTTTACAGCTGCAGGCACTGAAATATGCTACTTGATAAGTGTGAAAGTGGATCTAGTCAGAGTAAAACATCAAATGCTTTAAATTGAGATTGTGCTGCATGTAGGTAAGTGGTTTGTGAGGTGTTGATGTTCAGCTGCAACTCACTGAATCTGAGGCTCACTATTCTCTGTGGTGCTAATCTCCATCTCTAAAGATGTTAATCTTTTACGATTGGGTTCAAACATTTTCTGTTAGCTGTTGAAAAATTTGGTACAAATTTACATTACAGCTGTGGATCATAACAGTTTGGTGCTGTATTCGGTTTATTCTGTGCATGCAATGATGAAACTTCACCTTGTACAACATGAGGGTAAATAGTTTGTTTTAAAGAGATTTTCTATCAAACACAACCACACATTTCAGTGGGAACAATATATAGATTGTTTTGAATTTATTCTGATTTAATCCTAAGAAAAAGATACAGAAGAATGCTTTGAATATTGGCTAATGTTTATGTCAAACTTTACACCAAATGTGTAATACTTTTTGCAAGCATGTCTACGCATTGGGGGAATAGCAACTGAAGTGAATGCAAAAAAACAAACAAACCAAAAAAAAAAAACACTCAAGACTGATTTTCACATATTTTGGGATGCAATATATGTTGAAATCAGGCCAAGTACAAACAGGACCCAAATATTTTTTGAGCCATGACTTTGAGTCACTGAAATGCATGAAAAGACTGCCACATCCAGGGCACACATGATATCATGCCCTTATGACAGCAGGCTGTTTACTTTGTACTTCACATCCACCCCTTGGCCTTAACAGTGGACTGGGTGTCCCATTTTATTGATTGAAGCCAAACTAAGTGGTCTACTCCTTGCGTGCCACCACAGAGAATTGGAGCACAACTGTCTAAGCACATCCAAACTCCCTGTGTCAAAACAAAGTGCATGGTTGTGAAAATGGTAGCGCAATTCCTGCAGATTTGAAAGAAGCTAAATGTTCAGCCATAAATTTGTTTTCATGGTATTTTCAGCGTAACTATTTGGAAAAACAAAGTCAAATTGAATATGGTGCACTGGTACTTAATAAAGAGCGTCCAGTGAAATCTACCGGACCGGGAATATGTGGATTTTTCCACACGCTCAGTTAGATTTCTTATTATTCTTATTGTGTAGTCTTATTGAAATATTTAGTCAAATTCTTGCTTTTGTAGATTGATGCAGTTGGTGCCTCTGTAACACTAACCTAACACACAAACAGTGCTAGTGTGCAAGTAATGAAGAAACTTCACCCAGAGCAACAAAAAAACTTTACTGAGCTTTTTTTTTCTAATATTAAAAACAGGCACATAAAGTCACAGAAATAACTTATTTTAACTGTTGTATGTGTGTAAGCTGAATGAGAACCATAACTATTGCCATCAAATAGTATATACCCAGTTTAGAAACCATGGCTGACTGACCGCAGCACGATGACAATAAAATGTGCACTGACTAAGATACATTAAAATCAAGCAAGAGGCTCATTTTTACCCCTTGGCTACAGACAAAGTGGACTCAACCAATAGACAGCATCCATTGTTGATATAATATTGACATGGCACTAATAGCCATGGCAGTAAGACCGGGCAGAGGAGCAACCAAGCGAGACAGAAATTGTAGGAAGACAAGGGCGTACCCCTTGCTGTGGTCTCTCCACGACCCACTTTAGTTCAACAACAAACACCACTCTGTTTGTCTCTGTACATTACCCTCACATCTTGACCACTGCAGGCTAATTCCCTCTGGAGGTCCAGAGTGGAGT